TAATTAACCCAAAGGCAGAGTCTGGGAGGAGCAACTACTGAAACACAGCCACAGGGACTGTTTCTAACACCAGAAGGAAAAGGCAATTCAGTTCTTCCACTGGCCTATTCCAGCTTTTGCATAAACTTAATGCACATAATTTAAAGTAAACATTTGCAGCAAGAAAGCTGCAAGCCCAAGTCGAGATACTGCCACAATTTCAAACAGACCGGATGTTTTACACTCAATTATTGCTAGAATGAAAAAGGAGAAGGGGAAATGCCACGGAGACCATTTACTGACGATGCCAAAACAGATGTTTCAAATTAAATCCAAGATTAAATGCTTGGGCACATTTATTGATTACATTCATATTCTACTTTTTCTTCCAAGTGCTGCAAGGGAGAGGGTAATCCATGATGCTGCCATTTCCCTATTTTTTTTTCTCTTCACACAAACTTTAAAGTGGGCTAAAATAAAAAATAGCAATGGCTGAATGCTAATCTCACTAGCATTTGGATAAAAGAAACTTAGATTCAATTCTCACGTATTTTTGCCCCAAGCGACACTCAGCTAGGCCGAGGAAAATGAGTTTATCAATGAAATTTTGTTCAAAGCCGAAGATGAATTTTGATGCAATACAACAGTTTTGCATTTATTAAGTGGCCAAGAGGTAACAGAACAATAAACAGAGTTGGAAGGGACCTTGGAGGTCTTCTAGTCCAATCTTCTGCTCAAGCAGGAAACCTATACCATTCCAGACAAGTGGCTGTCCAGTCTCTTCTTTAAAACCTCCAGTGATGAAGCATCCACAACTTCTGAAGGCAAGCTGTTCCAATGATCAATTGTTCTCACTGTCAGGAATTTTCTTAGTTCTAGGTGGGTTCTCTCCTTGATTAGTTTCCATCCACTGTTTTTTGTCTTGCCTTCTGGTGCTTTGGAAAAGAATGGGTTGATCTCTTCTTTGTGGCAGCCCTTCAAATATTAGCACACTGCTATCATATCACCCCTAGTCCTTCTTTTCACCCAATTCCTGCAACTGTTCTCCATATGTTTTAGCCTCCAGGTGTGGATAAATGCCTTGCCTTCCATTACACAGCCCTTTCTCAATCTGTCTGCAACCTCCCTGCCTTCTCTATTTGCATTACATTCCAGAGCAGGACCTGCCAAGGGAATTCCTCCCCCAAGGCCTTTTCAGACTGGGAAGTAGAAGCAGCCAGGGCGGCTGTAAAGTGGCAGACGCATCCTAGGGCAGACCCACATTTCCAATTCATCCCAAAGGCAGCACCCACACTCAGCATTCTTGGAGGGCAAATATGTATGAAGTTACCCTCAATCCGCCTTCAACTTTGGGCCAGTCACTCTCCCTCAGCCCAACCCACTTGACAGGTTTGTTATTGTGGGAAAAGTGAGAGGAGGAAGACATATTAGATACGTTCCCCAGCTTGATTTATGAAAATAATAAAGGTGGAATATAAATAAACTTCTATAATTAAATAAACTTCTGAGGCATTTGGTTTGCCTGTTGCAATTCAATCCTTTGTAAGCAAAGCTTTCCATTCCAATCAGCAAGTGTGCCTCTGATGGGAACTTCTCCCCTCCTCCTTCTCAGGGTCACTGATGGGACAATGCAACATGGAGATTTTTTGGTTTGTTTTAACCAAAGGAGAGCTAAAAGAATTTTGCCACTTTCCTTTCTAGCCCATAAAAAGAGAAAATGGTAAAACTGGGATGCCCTTCTTTCTCTTCTTTTTCTCTCTCCTCTTTCGTTCCCTCTCCCCCTCCCTCTCTCTCTCTCTCTCTCTCTCTCTCTCTCTCTCTCTCTCTCTCTTCCCCCTCAACCATCCATCCTTCCATCCAGTCCACACGGTGGGGGGGGGGGACAAACAACTCCATCCACCAAAGACTATGGTAAATCCAGCCCATACAGAACATCAAGCCATCATCGGTATGGTGAAAGCAAAGAAAAGGTTGAAATCTGGAAACTGATTTATTAAGGCAACTTCATTTCCACCTAATTTATGCATGGTAGATAAACAGCCAAGGTTACAGAGCAGAAATGCCTTGAAGTTTTCCTTGACTTACAACAGTTCATTTAGTAACCATTCAGTTTACAATGGCACTGAAAAAAGTGACTTATCACCATTTTTCACATGACCATTGCAGCATCCCCAGGGTCATGTGATCAAAATTCAGATGCTTGGCAACTGGCCCATATTTATGACGGATGCAGTGTCCTGGTGTCATGTGATCCCCTTTCGCCACCTCCTGACAACCAAAGTCAATGGGGAAGCCAGATCCACTTAACAACCATGTTACTAACTTAACAACTGCAGTGATTCACTTAATAACTGTGGCAAGAAAGATCACAAAATGGAGCAAAACTCACTTAACAAATGTCTCACTTAGCAACCAAAATTTTGAGCTCCATTGTGATTGTAAGTCGAGGACCACCTGTACAATACCATCACCCTAACCGCTCCGACCACCTATTAAACTCAAAAACACCAACAAAAGGAATGTGATAGAAATTCTCAACCAGCCCGAGAAACTGGTAGACAAAGAGAAGCCTCTTTTGCAGAGGGAAAAATGTCCAAGAAATGGGAATTCTTATTTCAGCATTCTGTAAGCTGCAAGAGAATTGAAGGAAGGAATAATATGAACTTCGTAGCGAGAAAAGGGGAAAACCATCTCCTCCGTTCCTCCACTGAGTCTAATAAGCCTCGTCAATGCTGTTATGTGCTATGCAGACAAACAAAAACGTACCATTTGCTAACTTGATGGAAATCAAAGAAGGGAAAGATGAGAGATAAGGAAAACAGACTGGATCAAATAAATTACAGGACTGCCTTTAGCAAAATACAAGTTGCAACTGGAAATCTCAACTGGCAATTGATCTCTCCTCCATGCTGCTACCAGGAGTCAAATTTGATTCATTGGAATCTGGCAGATTATGACATCACCTCTTGCACCTATCACAAAACTAAGCCCTGGCAAGCCTTACTTTCTCCCTTGTCTCTGGGATATAGCCCTTTTCTCACCTCCAAACCATTAGTGAAACTGCCTTAAGCTTAAGAATCGCCTTGCAGCAAGATGGGCAGCAAACAAATTTAATAAATTTAATAAGGTGAGTTACAAAAGTACTTTGTCCCCAATTCCATCATCACCCAATGGTATCTACATAAAATCAATTAAGCCTACCACCTATTACCTTGGAGTGAGTTCAGATGACCTCAGGGAATTGGGAACAGAGACAAGTGGGGGCAGAAAAAGAATCATAACCAGGAATAGCAAATGCCATGCAGGTGTTGCCCGCAGTAGATTTGATGCAGGAGAGAACCATGTAGCCTTGACCAATTCCAGAAAAGTCAGAGGAAAATATAATGCAGATGCACCAGGATTCTAAGGACCTTTTGTGAAGGACCAAAAATGAGAGCAGATTTGGTCGTGTGGTTAAGGTACCAGGCTAGAAAGTAGGAGGCACTCTGTATTCAAGTCCCACCTTAGCCATGAAAACCAGCTGGATCAGTCATTCTCTCTCAGCTCAACCCACCTCACAGGGCTGTTGTGAGAAAAATAGGAGGAGGAAGGTGTGTTGGATATGTTTGCCACCTTGAGTTATTTGTAAAAACAATCAAGGCAAGATACAAACAAAACAAATGCAGTGGATGAGCATCTCTCCATTGGGGTTTTTTGCACTCAGCACCCCCCTCCCAGACTTACTTCACTTTCACAGAGGAGCAATGCACTGGGATAACAGAATTGGGAAAAGTTAGGTTCTATGACAACACACTACCCCTAATTTAAAGAATTTGTGACTAGATTATCACCTTACCTGAAACAAGGATTTAACTACAGGTAACTGAATAAGCCCCAACAGGCTACAAACCCATTTTTCATAAGCCCATGGCCTGGTCTACAACAGCAAAGCAAATTATATCACTATGCAGCATGAGGTGTAAATCCTGCAAGACAGATGAATTGCATGCACACCTTTCATAGGTTGGCTGAGGAATTCTGGGAGTTGAAGTCTACAAGTCTTAAAGTTGCTAAGTTTGAAGACCCTTGGCTTAGAAGATATTAGAGGAAGAAAAATTGCTCTAATATGCTTCATAGATTAAAAAAAAAGTACATAAAGCGGGGTTGTCCAACCTTGGCAACTGATGGACTTCAACTCCCAGAATTCCCCAGCCAGCATGGGGCATTCTGGGAGTTGAAGGCCACAAGCCTTGTGTTAACCTCCGTTAACACAACTATGATGCCTTGCCAACTGGACAGGTGTTGTGTGGGCTCAGCAACACATGCCAAGCAGGATTTCTGACTTCCAGGTCTGAAATTCTTCCCTTACAGCTGGACTTGGGATGAAAGACATTAAACGGTTGGGGATGGGGGGGAGGTTTAAGGGAGCTAAAAAAAATTATAGGCCACGGAACATTGCTAGTTAAGAACTTCACTCCTCTTTAACTTGGTCGGGCTCCTTCCTCCCTAGAGAAAGCTGCCCCAGGGTGAAGTTAACCTGGTTTCTGGAATTAAGCCAATGTTCCGGGTTTGCACGACTGCACTGAACCAGGCATAAACCAGATAAACGGGATGGGGGTCAGGCAACCTGCTAGGCTAAATTGTGGCTAGATCATCTTTGGTTCGAGAAGGCGGGCGATCGTCTCTTCCCCCAGCAGACTTTTTTTTTTAAAAAAAAAAAATCTAGTTAAATGGCAGAGCGCTAGGGCGTTGAGTTAAGGCAAGGCGGCCGCAGAGCTGCTCACCTGCAAATACCTGCCCCCCTGAACAAAGGGAAGGTGGCTTCCTTCCGGGTAAACAGGCTGGCTGGGGAATAAACACCGCAGCGGGTCAGGTGCGCCCAGCCAGCAGAGCACCGCGTCTCCTTCCCAGCGCAAAAGGAAAGTTTTGGCGAACAAGAGAAAGTGAACTTTCTCCCCTGCCTTGCCCGGGGGCTCGTTCTGGGAGCGAGCAGCCGCCCCTTCTCGCATCTCCCATCCCCCCACCCCCCACGCCCCACTCACCTCTTCCAGCGCCCCCACCGCGCCCCGGCACTTCTGCATCTTGGCGGCGAAGCCGGACACCAGCGGCGAGCTGAGGTCCTCCGAAGTGACGGCCACGAACTCCGAGACGCTAAGCTGTTCGGGCATGTTGGAGCGCAGCGTCGCCTCGGCGATCGGAGGAGGTTCTGCGCCCGAAGGAAAGACGAGGTGGGGGGGGGAAGTCACCCAAAGCTGGGAAGGGGGCGAAGTCGACAGAGCATGAAGGAGTCGGTTGGATTGGGAGCTGCTGGAGGTGGGGTGAGGTGGGGTCTCCCTCGGCGCGAAGAGCGTTGCAAAAGAGAGAAACGAAGCCCTCCCGTTTGGTTTCAGCTGTTGAGGAGACCCCACCGGATCGGTTTCGCTTCACATCCCGCTCTCCGGCTCCGGTCCGGCGTGCGATTGACTCGAGGCACCTTCAAGCGCCTTTGGAAGTTACTCCCCTCCCTCCGCGCCTGCCTGTTCGGAAAACTTTCATAGCAGTCACGTGGGCATATTGTTACGCCGCCGGAGCCGGAGAGCGCAACGTTTTGGACCTCCGCCCGTTAAAGGCAAAGTGCGTCCAGTTCCTTATGCCTCGCTGTTCATTTCTCTCTTTACAACCCACCCCCGCGTCTTTCACGCCCCCCCATCGGAACGCACCCTCTCTCAAAACAGCAACGAGGGAATTTCCAGCTGTTTGTTGTTTGTTTGCAAACTGTATTTCCATTTTGAACTGCATCTCCCGGTGCAAAAAGCGGGGGGGGGGGTGCGTGGCTTGAAAGAGAAAACTTCGAGGTTTTCAACTTCCTCGAAGCAAATCTTGCGCGGGGGGGGCACGCACGGTTGGGCCAGAGTAATCCACCCAGCAGTAGGTGGGCGGGCTCACTCTTACTTTCTGGGGTATCCGTTTCTGGCTTTTCCATTGTTTAGTTTGCTGTTCTTTTCTGCAGAAAATTTACTTCAAGGGCCCTTGTGAAGGTGTCTTGCGGTCGGGGTTTTTATTTTTTGTTGTTGTTTTTTTTTTTTGCACGGAGGTTTTTCAAGGTAATTTCCGCACCTGTGACTTAATAGAGTCTCTGCATAGGATACCCAGGTGAAGTGCTATAAAGTCAGACTTTATAATGGTTTTATCGATGCAATGACGACTGGAGGGCTCGAGAAGGTGCAGAAAAACAACTGAAAGTCTGGTGGCCCCTTTAGAAGCAAATAAAAGAATCGCAGCATTGATTCTCATGTGCTGCGCATTGCGCAGTGGACACACTGTGGCTGCAAAATTTAAACCAATTGCTGGAAGAGGTTGCTGGGATCACGATGCAAATTGTCTTGTTTATTCATGTGTAAATCCTAGGCAGTTCAATGGGTTTACTCCCACAAACTGTGTGTGGGATGTTACATCAGCTGAACCCCTCTCATTCAGAAGTAAAACTCACTTTAAAACTTTAAAGAAAATAAAGAAGAAGATACATCACTACAAAACGTGTGGGATACAGCTAAAGCGTATTTTAGAGGTATAGCTATAACGTATATGGCAAAGAAAAATAAACAGAGAAGACAGCAATATTTATTATTAAAAGAAAAATTTAGAAAGTTAGACACAGAATTACAACAAAATCCCAGAAAAAGACTTTGAAAAGAGAAATGGAAATAATAAAACATAAGCTGAATTTGTTGGATTCAGAAAAATTGGCGGAACAAATAAAGAGAGCAAAACAAAATTTCTTCAAAAATGCTAATAAGCCAGGAAGATGGCTAGCTTATAAGCTCAAAAAAACAGAAAGAGAAGAAAATAATACATAATTTAGTAGATGGGAAAGGTTGTTTACAATTTAAAAAGGAAGAAATAAAAAAGATAATTAAGAAATATTATGAAGAATTGTATGGTAAAGAGGAGGCTGCAAGAGAGTGAATTGCTCAATATCTAGAAGAAAGTAAATTGCCAAAAATTTTATAAGAAATGACTTGTCAACAGTATAGGAAAAAATTAAAGCTAAAATATATTTAAAAATTCCAGGGTGGTTATCAACGATGGAGGCATTTATACATCCAAACTTGGTAGATTTTGAAAAAATATGGACATATATTCTAGATAAAGTAGATATGAAAAAGATGTAAAAATGTATGGATTTTATAAGGATCAAACTGTGTTTGATAAGTTTTGTTAACCTCAGATGAGAAATTAATCAAGAAAATGTATAACTTTTTGTTAATTTTGGATATGGAAAGTGAACAAGTGAAAGAAACAATGACAAGATGGGCAAAATTTTTTGGCTAGAATATAGAATTAGAAAAATGGCAAATGTTATGGGAGAGAAACTACAAATTAACAATGTCAACCTCATACAAAGAAAATCTGTATAAAATGTTTTATAGATGGCACCTGCCGCCAGCAAGATTAGCAAAAATGTTTAAAAATATGTCAGATAGATGTTGGAAATGTAAACATAACATAGGCACGTATTATCACATTTGGTGGACGTGGTAAGGCAAAGGCCTATTGGAGAAAGATACATATGTGGTTAGAAAAAATATTGGGTGAACAAGTGGATTTTAAACCTGAACTTTTTTTACTAGGTATTATGCCTGAAAAGACTAATAAGCAGAAATTATATTTAATCTTACATATTACTACAGCAGCAAGAATAATTTTCACACAATATTGGAAGAATGAAGGACTGCCCTCAGAAGAAGAAATAATCAGGAAAATATTGGAATGTGCAGAAATGGACAGATTAACTATGAGGTTGTCTTATGGACCCTGCTCAAGCAGCGCTTCTGTGCTATGTCCTGGATGGGAGGGAGGGAACTGCCAATGATCTTTTCGGCCATCCTCACCACTCTCTGCACCGCCTTCCTGTCTGAAGCAGTGATGCTTCCAAATCAGACTGTGATGCTATATGACAGGATGCACAATAGGTAGGTTATCTAACTAAACCTCACAGGCCGTAGCAGGTGCCTTTGTAAAACATATACGGGTAGTCCTTTACTTACAATCTTTCATTTAGCGACCTTTCAAAGTTATAACAGCACTGAAAAAAGTAACATAACCATTTTTCACATGACATTGCAGCATCCCCAGGGTCATGTGATCAAAATCCAGATGCTTGGCAGTTGGCTCACATTTATGACGGTCCCCAAGTCACATTTTTCAGTGCTGTTGTAACTTTGAATGGTCATTAAATGAACTGTTGTAAGTCGAGAACTACCTGTACCTTATAGCAAATAAACATATGGGGTATAAGGTTATCGTGGCATAAGCATCAGGAAGGAATTTCCCAGCCTCAGTTTAATCCTGTGCAAGGAAATAAATCACTTGGTCAATAGGTGGCCGAACACATTGATCAAGTCAATCCCAGATATTTCAAATAGAATTCATCAAATAAAGTGCATAGGAATTTTGCCCTTGGAGTCTGCAAAATTTACAAAAATTTAGAACAGAACAAAGCTGGAAGGGACTTTGGAGGTCTTCTAGTGCAGGGCTTTTCAACCTTTTCACCCATTGTACCACTTTTAGGATACGGCAATATCCGAGTACCACCAGTTGCCTAGCAAGGTGTCAAAAACTTGATGACCAAAAAAAAAAAAAGGAAAAAAGTGATAAAGTACAGGTAGTCCTCGACTTACAACATTTTGCTTAGTAACTGTTTGAAGTTACAATGGCACTGAAAAAAGTGCCCCCCAAGCCACAGCCAAGCAAGACACCTGCCTGTCCACCCGGCGGCACTCTTCCTCCTGTCTGAGGTTTTCATTGTTGTGAGCATTTCTGTTGAGGATTGGCAGCGGGGGTGGGGTGGGGGGGATGTTTGGTTTTTATCCCCCCCCCCCATCTGCTGGGTGGTTGCAGCAGGTTTTGGTCACTTCACATAACCCTGGGACACTGTGACTGTCATAAATATGAATCAGTTGCCAAGCATCTGAATGTAAATCACAAGACCCTGGAGATGCTGCAACATTCCAGCTGATCGGCACATCTTCTGGGCTCAGCAGAAGCGCCAGGATCAGCACTGAGCTCCAGCTGGAGCCTGGCTCTGATCCTGGCACTTCCACTGAGCCCTGACAGCCCTGCAGCTGCAGCCATCTCTCACTCAGGCTTGTGTGGTGCTGCCCCCGGTTCAGCTCATTCCCCTCCCCCACTACCACTTTTCTAGGGTGCTCGCGTACCACCTGCCAGGTGCCAATGTACCACAGGTGGTACCCGTACCACTGGTTGAAAAGCCCTGTTCTAGTCCAGCCCCCTGCTCAAGCAGGAGAACCTATATCATCTCAGAAAGATGAATGTTCAGTCTCTTCTTTAAAATCTCCAGTAATGGAGCACCCACGATTTCTGGTGGTAAACTGTTCCACTGGAGGCTAAATCTACCACCAAAGACAAACTGAGTTTCAAAGGCCCTAAAGGGTTTCTGCTTTTTAAGAAGTAGACAAACAAGGAAAGGCTGGCTGATTTTTGCAGTATTGAAGTTGTTAAAATGTATCTGGATAAATGCTTTCTTTATGAAACTTTCAATAATACCTGTGTTCTTTCCGAAGCTAAATAAAATGTCCTACACTCTGCTGGGCAGGTATCTAAGTTTTTTAAAGTTCTATTTTACATCCATGTCTCCTTCCTAATAATTGGTGGAATCTGTGTGACCCAGTTTTGGGTGGGGAGAGGCAAGGGCTATTATACCCAGACCCCTTGGCAGGCAGGTTCTATATTATCAAAATAAGTAAGTGGAATGGAAAAATTGTTATTTAAATGAGAATATAATTAACATTATTACTCTCCAGATCTGTAATTACTCTTATTTAAATTGTTGCATACTTCATCTTATTCTCTTCCTGTCACAGAAATTTTTACAGCTTCAGAAGAACCTTGGAAGGCTCTGAGGGCTGCACTCCCAAATTTTTGAGTACCCCACCAGCAATTCTGGAGCCAAGGATTGTATGTGTGTCTAAGAGGCAAATTTGCTTTAGCCCTTTGTTTTGTTGCCAGTTGTTCAGGGGAAAACACCTGGCCTGATTGCTTCTGCCAATAGTGGCTGCCAATGGAGAAAGCAGCAGGTGACGAGAGTTCAAGGTAAAACATCAAGCAATGATTCTTGCAAAAGAAGGCATGGCTGACAGCATAAAGATAGATATTTCTTCAAGTTGAGTTTCTCCTGAGGACACACCCAGGCCATATGTTTGATAACAGTACAAAAGTGATTTGCCATTCTCTTCTTCCTGAGTGTTACAGGGAGTCCCTGATTTACAGCCACAACAAAGTTCAGCGTTTCTGTTGCTGAGCAAGACAGTTAAGTGAGTTTTGCCCCATTTTGCCACCTTACTTGCCACACTTGTTAAGTGAATCACTGCATCTGTGATGTTAGTACACGGTTGATTGTGAATCTGCCTTCCCCATTGACTTTGTCAGGTCGCAAACAGTGATCACATGACCTCAGGACACTGCAACCATCATAAATATGAGTTAGTTACCAACCTCTGAATTTTGATCATGTGACCGTGGAGATACTGCAATGACTGTTAGTGTGAAAAATGATCATGTCACTTTTTTCAGTGCCATTGTAACTTCAAACGGTCCCTACATGAGCTGCTGTAACCTGAAAGTCCCATTGCCTCATGAAAAAGCATCTTTGGGACCTGGATGACTGAGAATCTCCATAGACATTCACCAGACTATTTTGGAAATTCCCAGATCTGTGCTTGCATTGTCATTTCCTGCTGAGACTTTGGGCTTAGAGCAATTCTGCACAGATCTTGACTGGGCCCGTAGCCAGCATCTCAGGACCGGCTCTGAACTTCAGAGTGAAGCAGCCAAATTTAATTTGAGAATTCCTTGCTTTTCCCCTCTCCCCACTCTTGCATGATGAAACCATCTGGAAAACTCAAATGCTTCCATTTCTTTTGTCTGTTTTGGTTAACCCTAACAAAAGAATCACCCAGCAATGGATTTCAGATGTGGTTTCCTCCTTGGACCAAGGATTGTTTTTGACATTCCATTGTATCTGACCCTAAACCCCATCAACTCCTTTGCTCTGGTGTTATTGTGACCAGCTTCCTGGGACCATTCCAGGAAAGATTCCCAGATGGAGTGTTGCAACGAGCAGGGGATGTGTATGTGGATGTTGCAAGGCTAAAGGTTTGGGCAGCTCCCAATCCCAGATAGGTTTGCGTGGCTGGGTCTCTCCTCAGCTGCCTGGAGATGCACTCCTGAGCAGAAGAATGTGAAAGGGTTGATACAAAAGGAAACATCTGATTTCAGAACTAATATTTGTGGATTGCTTGCAGGAAGGCAACTGACACAGTTGGGTGGCACTTGGAGCAAGAACTTCTTCCCACCCAGCTTTTGTTTTCCACTCACTGTCCTGAGATTTCCTGTCAGCTCATCGCTAATGCATTTTTCTCTCCAGTCCCTTGCAGGCCCTCCCCTCGTTTTGCAATGGGATGGTGACATGGCACTGTTGCAATAGCGTCAGTGAGCAAAGACTGGTTTGAAATGGCTGCAGTTCAACAACAACACTTCCAACTGAGACAAGAATTACTTCCTTGCTTCGCTGTTTCTCTCCTCTGCATGTTCATTTTAGCTTCATTTTCTCACCAAAAGCAAGAGCTTTGGTTTCTCAATTGCTCAGGGCAGAGATCCAGCGTTTATATCCCATCAAGAGCCATGGGAATCAGTGGTTGATACTCATTCAGGTAATCCTCGACTTATAGCCATTCACTTAATAACCATCATAGTTATGACCTTTGTAGCATCCTCATGATCACGGGATCAGAATTCGGCTACTTGACACCTGGCATGTATTTATGAGGGTTGCAGTGTCCCGGGGTCATGGGATCCCCTTTTGCAGCCTTCTGACAAACAAAGTCAATGGGAAAGCCAAATTAATAACCATGTTATTAAATTAACTGCAGTGGTTCACTTAACAACTGTGGCAAGAAAGGCCATAAAATGGGGCAAAACTCACTTAACTGCTCTCTTGCTTAGCAACAGAAATTTTGGGCTCAATTGTGGTTGTAAGTCAAGAACTATAGCTTTCTAGGAGTTATGTTCCATTTTTTTCTCCCAGATCAGTGTGGTTCACATTTTTTTCCCTTTCCTTATCACAACAATCCTGCAGGGAAGGCAAAGTCAAATGGAACTCACCGATTCCTTCCACCCAGCTATTTTTCTCCAACTAGTAGCATTAGCCCAAATGTTTTGTCTAGATTCAGATTTTACCTTCCTTCCTTCCTTCCTCAGCTTTGTTGTTCCTCAGTGAATTCTGGTGGCATCCTTAGGACCAGCTGTAAGACCCCAACAGGGCATTGTTACCTCATTCCAAATTCTGGGTGGATTTCCTAATTTCTCATTCCTAACTCTGGCCTTGGGGAAAAAAGTTTTCTTGATTAGGATCATATCCCCACCAGAGTTTTTCTCATCTCTGCAGTCTGTGGTGGATGGGGAAGAGAAACAGCAGATCTCAACCTTTCATCTTCTGGTGTGGTTAACAGAACATAATCCTCACAGTTTCTCTCCTTTGCTGCTGCTAGTTTCCAGGAAAAACGCTTTATCTGAACGGACTAATTTTTTGCAGATGAATGAGATACCATTTGGGGAAGCCTAAATTCTGGGAAAGCAGTGAGGCACTCAAGATGAATTTATAGTAATTATAGGACTACTTGGCCACCAATCCACTCCAAAATTCATTATATGATTCTACTACAACCAAAAAGGGGAGGGAAGGGGAGGGGAAGGAAAGGAAAAGGAAAGGAGGTTCTCTAAAAGTAGAGGATAAATCTTGGGTTAATGAAAACCCTACATAAATGTAATAAAAATTACAATTCTTTTAACTTTTACCAATGGAATGGATTAAATCAGTGTTTTTCAAAGCTGGCAATTTTAAGAAGTGTGGATGTCAACTCCCAGAATTCCCCAGCAAGCACATTCCCCAACTTCAAAATTCTGGGAGTTGCAATCCACACATCTTTAAAGTTGCCAACTTTGAAAACACTGGATGAAATTAAGGGCTGGCTACAGTGGCTGTGACCATATTTCCCCAAATTTTGGAGGATAAAAAAGGTTAAAATAACTTCTAAATGGTAGAAGACCAGGTATTCAGTCCTTTATGATTTACAAATGATTTTCAGAGGCACAAGCAAACTGAGGATCTGGAGGAAGGAAAAATAAAGATGACAGCAGTTTGGACCCACAGGCTACTCACTCCTGGATTTAAAGGAATTATAGTTGTTTTAACATCTGATGTTGTTTAATGAGGACAAAAGCCAGTGCTGTACAGCGCCAACCCATAATTTGCTGCGGTATCTTTTGTTTTGGAAACTGCTTACAGTAAACAGCAATATTGCAATCAACACAATGAATGACTGGACCAGCTTCCATCTCAGAAATTATCTTTGTGGGAGAGTTGTGTTAAGATGACAGCCAGGCTGTGAAGTTTTCTGAACCACAAAAAGTACAGCACAAGTATGAATGTTTATGATGGTTTGCTACGTAGCTTCCCTCATTCCCAAGTCCTTGAATCTTTAACACAGCCTGTGTGTGGCCTACAGTTAGGGAAGTGCTTCAAAAAAATCAATTGAAAGAAATTGCTGGCATGAAAAATGCTGAATTCAACAGGTCCAGTCCTGTTTTCATTTGTGGGGTTTTTTTGGGGGGGGGGGTGTTCCCTACATGCTGCATTTTAGCCCAGATCATTGGCAAATTATTTTCCTAGCCTCCTCTTCCTCATTAGAGCGGGTAGACATGGAATGTTGTCAGTCCCCTCTCCTAAGGAGCTCCATTTACGGGACTAAGGAGGGCCTTCTCCGTGGTGGCTCCCTCCCAGTGGAATATCATCCCTACGGAGATAAGATTGGCCCCTACTTTGACACTCTTTTGTAAGGACCTGGAAGGCCAATGGGCCTGGGTGGGGAGGAAGAGCCCATTAAATGATTTGAATGCTGTTGCTGGGGAGGGGTGGGGGATAACTGTTTTTTTGTTGTAGTTGTAGTTGTTTTGTATTTAGCATTTATCCTTGTAAGCTGCCCGGAGTCACCGAGAGTGAGTTAGGTGGCCATATAAATTTTCACAAATAAATAAATGTTATAGTTATATTTTTATTCTGTCTTTTCCAGTCAAATTAAAATATTGTTTTGCAGAAAGAAAAACGGGATTCGGCAGGCTATGGAGAAGCATAAGAGATTGGACTCCTTCCTATCCAACTCTATTAAGAAAGCCAACAAGGATCCTATCAAAAGTGCATTTTTAATAACTCCCTTGCAGATTGATTGCTATTCTGGATTCCATATTCTGCAATAAGCTGACATGTGGCTAAGCTAAGGGACCTGTCTCTAACCACCTTTTATCCACCAGAATGCTCTGGGATTCCCTGTTGGCCCTGCGGACTTTCTTAAGGAACTTAAATAATGAGGGCTGTAGTCCCAAGTTTGTTTACTCACTGCCTAGGAAACAAAGACAGGTGTGGGCTACAAGCATCTCATTTTGTTTCCTGATAAATGGGTGTCAATTTTTCATAGGTAACTCATCCTATGGCATGCATTTTGTGACAACCATAGTTTCAGGATGTTCAGATGTGGCCACTGGCTCATAAAAGAGAGCCAATTGGTCTTTGGGTCAAGTAACTTAAAACTAATAACCACCATAAAATAAATACTGTAGTTTCTCAATGTACTGTTGTAATTTGAGCCCAGAATTTTGGTCCTAAGTCATGGCAGTTGTTAAGCAGGTCATCACGTGACTACGGCTGATTTTCTAATCTTTTTTGTGGCAGTTGTTAAGTGAATGCGACAGTCGTTACATGAATGCAGCAGACGTAAAGCGAATGCTATGGTCATTAAGTGAATCCATTATTCGAAGTGCTTTTTTTTTGCTAGAAACCTGAAGTAAACACTGGTTTTCAGCAAAAAAAACTCCTCCATTATAAATTGCAGTCATGTAACCACAGGATGCTGCAAATAGCCATAAATATGGACCAGTTGCTAAGGGCACCAAAATGTGATCACGTGACCCCCAAGGCCCGAGGGGGGGGGAAGATAACATCAGAACTTCAAATCCAAGTGATAAGTAGCCTGGGGAGCTCTGTTGTAACTTTGAAGTCATTAAGTAACCAGTCGTAAGTCGAGCTCTATTTGTAAAGTAGAAGAGCCACATACAGGAAACAATTCAGGATCAGTTTGTAAAGTTTGGGCATTTCAGTGTGGATTTCTCATGTTGCATCAGATGTTTTGGCCGGGCTCTGGGGTGCTTAAAAACCTAGAATCATCCATTAGGAATAGGCCAGAGTGTCAGTTCAGCTCTACAATCCCAAATAAAGCATCTCCAACAAATGTTTTCTCCAGCCTGTTTGGACACGTTCACTGAAACGGAATCCACCATCTCTCCAGGTCACCGGTTCCACTGCCAAATTACTCTGGCTGTTCAGTTTTTTTCCAGCTTTTTTATTGGAATTTTCTTTGTAACTTAAATCCAGTATTCAGTCTCCTGCCTTCTGGGATGATAGGAAACAGACCTCAGCTTTTGTTCTGAGAGATTCTGCTAGCTAGACTTCATCATTTAACAGTGCAATTTAAAACTGTCTTTGTAGCAGATTTAAAATGTTTTCTCCTTCAGGTTCTCCCTCTCTGATCACTTTTGCTAATTTGACAGCCATGTACAGATAGTCTTCGACTTACGACCATAATAATAATAATGTTGGAAGGGACCTTGGGGGTCATCTAGTCCAACCCCTGCTCAGGCAGGAAACCCTATACCATTTCAGACAAATGGCTGTCTAGACTCTTCTTAAAAACTTCCAGTATTAGAGCATTCACAACTTCTGGAGGCACTGATAATAATCCACTGATTAATTGTTCTGTCAGAAAATTTCTCCTTAGTTCCAGGTTGCTTCTCTTTTCAGTTAGTTTCCACCCGTTGCTTCTTGTCCTGTCTTCAGGTGCTTTGGAGAACAGCTTGACTCCCTCTTCTTTGGGGCAGCCCCTGAGATATTAGAACACTGCTATCATGTCACCCTCTTCATTAAGCCTGGAATTAGTCTTGTCTTTATACTAGATCAGTGGTTCTCAACCTTTTTAATGCCGTGACCCCCAACCGGTCGTAAGTCGAGGACTACTCAACTGGTGCAGCACCGTTTGCAGAATGGGACTTTTGGCGGGCTCAGCAGGGCAGAGACAGCCTGGACAATTCCTATTGGCTTTTGAAAGCCAATAGAATTAGACTCTATTCAAGAGAGTCTATTCTATTGGCTTTCAAAAGCCAATAGAATAAAAGGGAGTAGCATAGCTAAGGAAAAGGGGAAAAAAATGGCGGACTGCGTTGTTTGGCGACCCCCGTGAAATGGTCGTTTGACCCCAAATGGGGTCCCGACCCACAGGTTGAGAACCACTGTACTAGATGTTAAACCATGTGACCAGACCCTAACTTATAACATTTTCTGAGTTTTAAGAGAATCCATTATACCCAAATGAACTTTTTTTTCTTTGCTGGAAACCAGAAATAAATGCATGAAATGTGACAAAAACATTGAAAATTGTGATCACATGACCACAGGACACTACAGTGGCCATAAAGGTAAGCCAAGTTGTTAAGGGCCCCAGATGAGATTGTGTGATCGCGGTGTGTGGCTATAATAACTTCAAAATTGGGTTATTTTGAGGGGTCTTTGAATAGTCACTATGCAACCAGACATAAACTGAGGACTATCTGTAATGGCAGATCATATTAATGTATCCCTAAACTTTTCCAAAACAATTCTATTTAGCAGGGAGACTATTACAGTTAATAAATTTACTAGTTGCCTCAATTGTTAAAGCAAATCTGGGAAACATTAATATACATAAAAGATTAATAAGATGAATGGCTTTGCTATCCTCCATCTCCTTCATTCGAGTTAACAATGAGTAGGAATATTTGAGCAAAATATGAATACATAAATCGTATTGTTAAAGGAAAGTCAAGATCAAACAAGGAAATCTATTTAAATAAGTAAACATGCCCCGAAGAAAGCATTTCAGGGAAATCCAAGAGTTTCCAGGAAAAATAGTGGATGGAAGATTAATCTCTGTATTAGCTCATGGAAGATGAAATTACAGCAATCCAGGAGAAAAATAGAGAACAGAATAGAAAGAAAATATAGCATTATTTTTGCAGGAATCATTTATTTTCCTTGATGGAAGCATCATCTCCAAATACCAGATTGCTTTACCTCTAGAAAATATTTTTTATATATATTGGCTATATATTGATCGTGTCCCTGGCTGCTCACATTGTGCCAAATCCCATATTTAGTTTTGACATGTTTAACCCAGCCATTAAGGTTGATGAACATTGATTTATAGCCTAATAAGTCACTTTGGTCTAGTGGCTAAGGCACCAGGCTAGAAAGCAGGAGGCCGTGACTTCTAGTCCTGCCTTAGCCATAAAAGCCAGGAGATTGGGAGTTCTAGTCCCACCTTACCCATGAAATCTAGCTGGGTGACTTTGGGCCAGTCTCTCCCTCAGCCCAACTCACCTCACATATTAGATATTAGGAAAATAAGAGAAAAGAATAATAGATATGTTTGTTGTCCTGAGTTATTTGTAAAAATTAAAATTAAAGGTGGGAAATAAATAGATAAATATAAAGTATTGCACGAACTCAACCAATTCAATGAACCATAATTAAATAAACCCTAACTTATTACCATGTGTTGATACTAAGTGCTTCAGGTCATCTTCCCAGATAGCTCTGGAAACAGGCCTTCTATTTGAAGCTCTGGTTTTTCCACGATAGTTGAAAAACATTTGATCAATGCTGGATCAAAGACAATTTCTCCACTTCCCTGTCCCCCTCGATTGTTCTCCTTCTATTTGGTGGAAAGCATTTTCCATTTCCCTCCCTCCCAGAGAACATTTTGAAAATAGCCTCAAAGTTGCTGTACGGAATTCTGAGCAAATTTTGATCGCACGACCAAATGGGGATGCCGCAACGGTTGTAAGTGTGAAAAACAGTCGTAAGTCATTTTTTTCAATGCGGGTGTAACTTTGAAGAGTCACTAAGCGAAAGGTTGTAAGTAGGGGACTTTCTGCAATTAAAATAAACAAAGCAAAAAGTGGCCACACATAAAAAGCTGAAAATGAGTCCCAGTTTGGTTCAAACGTTTTATTTCCTTCTTTTTTGTTGTTGTCATTGCTGCCCACAAAAAAATAAAATAAAACACATCATCAAGTGCCTCGAGGTTATTTTTTTTAAGTCATACACATCTCCATCCACTAAGGCCAAGCCAAACATCACAAAAAAAGCCTTAGAACACATTTTTAAATACTCTGGTTTCAAACAAAGCAAATAAAACCCACACGTGGCCGAACAAGCGTCAAAGATGGTTCCTGTTATAAATACAGTGCAACAATTATATACAACTTTTACAATTTTAAGACAAAGCCCAGCAGTGTCACTGGGTCAAATGTATTGGTAAGATTTTAAAGGTGGCTTGCACAAGAAATCTCTCCTGCGCAGGCGTGTGTAGAATTAAGACTCGAGCTGAGCTGCAATTCATTAAGTACAAGCTCAACCCGGATTAAAACCTGGTGTGAGAAAGTAGCATCAAAAAACTCTGCTAACAAAACAGCGACATGATGAACTAATTATTCTATAAGCCTAGCTCCCAAAAACAGCCTTCTGCAAACCTCCACTTTTATGGAACAACAGCTCTTCAAATCCATTTGCTGTACATACAAATAATTTCATTGACGAAGAAATCCACAAAGATGTGTGTCTTCAAAAAGCTTATCAAATAGTAAAAAACACATAGCCCTTTATTCAAAGAGAACACCGGCACCACCTTCCCCCCCCCATACACACACTTCCAACACTGCATATGAGCCCAGGATTTAACTATGATGAGTTACACACTAAGACAATTAAGTAAATAACTGTAGCAGGGACCAGCCATTAGCTGAAATTGCTGCCATCTCCAAACTGCTACTTCTCTTTTTTTAAGCAGGGGTGGCACAGAATGGGGCAGCTCGCCACAGAACAGTTCAATTTAATTATTTAAAATAATTTAAATTTTTGTCATTCACATTTCATTTTGTCCCTTCTTTGGCATCCTTTAGTTATTCTATTCCACTATTTCTTTGATATTAGTGTAACTCTTCTCCCGTGGCGAGTTGTCCCGCAGCAAGTTGGCTGTAGCGAGTTGTCGTAGATCTGGGGCGACAGGTTATGAACCAAGGAAGAAAATAGCATCGAGACATGGAAGTGTGCTAAGGCTCACTCTTGGGTTGTGCAAGGCATCTGTGTCAAGAGGTAAACTGTGTGCATTCTAATGAGATCTTCGGCCTGACCAGCATAGCTTTAGCCACCTTGAGCAAAGCTGGGACACCTTTCCACTACGTGCCCAACGTTGGTGCCTTCTGCTCCCACATTTCTTGCTCGAGCAAGGAAATTGAGAGTGGGTGTAGCCAGAAAAACTACACTGGGTTTAAAGTGGGGCTCTGAAAAATAAGGCAGAGAAGCTGTCTGTAAACGACCACCACCGACGTCGTGAACATGGACCCACTTCCTTGCAACCAAAATAAAGATAAATCACTACATTTTGCACAAGTGCAAAACTAATTTGGAATACAGGGTGTAATTCAGATTTTAAGAGCTCCACTAAGGAAAAAGCATAGATTGAGGATCCCCCCCCCATAAGATAGATGCCCGAAAACACTATACAGAATCTGACATCCACTTTCCAGATAATGCAATCTTTGAGTTTCTTTCTCACATTCACCCACGTGCATGCACAAACACACATTCATGCCTCTGGTTATTCACTACTGCAACAGCCTTCGTTCCAATTGAGACAATATCTTTCTTCTACCGCAGCAAAGGAATTAATATTTTGAGCAGCCCAACTATACATCTTTGCATGTAGAAGAAACAAGCATGTCAAAAAAAAAAAAGGCTAGGCTGACATTTCATCCTGAAATCTAAATGTCCTTTGCACTAGGTTAAGATCTTCTGACTTCCTGAACAGATTACAGCCTAGATACAGGGTCCCAACTTGGCAATAAGCCAACTCTACGTGATGATGTGGTTAAGGCAAACCAAAGGCCCCTTTAAAGCTAGGCTAAATTTGCTCAAGGAATTCAGTCTCATGAGTTGTGAAGAACAAAAAATGAAGGATGGGTCCAAACTGTGCAAGACTGGTAGCTTAAGGATCAGTAAAGCTCCAGACCTTACCAAGGTTGGACACCTCTACTCTACATGTTGATGAGAACAGAAACAACCCAAGTAACATTCTAGTTCCCTGAGAAAGGATGCATTTACTACAGATGGACTTGTGTCAACCTAAGGCAGCTAGAAATGACGACTATACAGTTACTGGAAAAGACTTCTCTGCCTGTTGATTTTTTTCTCCCTTCCATCATGCTATTTAAGGAAGGCATGCATAACCGTTAACATCTCTTCCTTTTAAAAACCCAGGTCTAGAGCCATTTCACCTTTCATAGAAATAAATTAATTTTGAACTAAGTAGCCCCTTCCACCCAGCAGCAGCAAATATGTTGCCTAGCTCTGGATAAAGGAAATGCACTGCAATTTTAGTTAGAGCTGCAGGTATGTGACCTTATGGCAGGGAAACATGTATTGCCAGAGATCTTGAATAATGAATGCATTTTGGTAGACAACCAAATTTGGTTATCTGATAGTTGCGGTCAAATCCAGTGTCACCAATACAGTGAAGCTCTGCTCCGACCAGTGAAAAAAAAAAATAAACAAGTATTGCTAAGACACCAGTGTCAGCTTCAGAAGCAAAAGATTTGTAAGAGTATGCAAATTTTCAAACTGCAGAAAAAATGTACAACTCCACTACTATAATGTTCCCCTGTAAGATCACATCTGCTTTATATATTATGAGGCAGAGATTGCATTATTACACTTGTTAGAATATATAACATGGCTGATGGGTCACCATTTTTTGATAGAGAAACACATACTTCAGAATTAAGGCTATGGTCAGGCTTAAGGGACAACTGAAAACATCTGAGAAGGGGAGAATCACTACATCAGGTGGTATGACTATCAAGGGAACAAAGAGTTGAACACTTGGACCCAACAAAGAATGAAGTTGGGTAATCAAGATCAGTCCAATTATGAGATGAACACAGCCAAGTCAAAAGACCAGACCTTTCTGGGGAAAGTGTGTTTGCATGAATTTAAAAATGTCCTCTTTTAACCTGCATCGTGGGAAAGAATGTAGCTGTCTTCTTAGACCTCAGTTTTTAGCAGAAAAGAAATCAACCCCCTCTTATTTTATTTATCCAGAGCTTGGGGTGCAACCAAGATTATGATAAGCCAGATGGTTAAATCTTCTTTTTCTTTCTTTTTCAACAAATCTCACTCTCCGTCACCAGCTGGGCTGATGAGAAAGCCTCAAACATGTGGAGGATACCATATGGCCTCCGAGGTGGAATTAGAACCTTTTGCAAGGCATTGTGAAGTCAGTTTCAAACCAGGGCATGCTGGGATTTTCCAAAGTTCAGCTAGGGTAGTAAAAGGTGGAGTCCCCCCCCCCCAGATTCATTCTCCACTGAGCAGCCTCAGAGACGTGTCTGGTTGGCCTAGACACGCTTAGATGGAGGAGAACCCTGGCACCAGGAGGAGCTGGCCTAGCTCCTTGTTCCTTTTCTCCCAGAGGGATGGACCAGAGGGAAGCTCATACCAAGAAGACAGCCACTTTCGACTTCCTGTTCCTGGTCAGGAATCTTGCAAATCACTTCCTATTCCATGAGATTTACTTTTGGACAATCTAACTATGTCTGGGTGCTAGGGTCGGGGGTGTGCGTGTGTCCAGAAGGAAATTAATGGATTTGGGTATTCTCTGGAATGCTGTCCCTGGAGCAGTCAGGTTTGCACACTTCAGAAGGACAGATTTGTGGTTTCTTCTCAGGGGGTGAAGGGTGCCCGAGATGGAGGCCTTATGCCCCGAGACGTGTGGGCTCCAACAAGAAAATATACAACTGAATTAAGACTTCCTGGTTTCTCCAAGGCATTGGCAATTGTGCGTGCAATTTCCCATTGGGCCTGATGAAAGAAAGAGTCTAAAATCTGATCCTCATCCCTTCTAAAAAGACAGACAAAATGCTAGGAGGAGGAAGAAAGGCAAGGCTTTCCCACAGCAGTATAGGGGGTGCTTTACTGCCCTGGGACCCATTCAAAATCCTTTGGGAGAGCCTTGAACGGGCAAGGATTTTCTAAATTGAGGGAGAACGACTAAAAGAGGCAATCTTGCAAGCCATGTCCTTTGGACAAAATGCAAAGAGACACTGCTAAGAAAAAGCCCAAAGCTTCGGAATCTGGATCTCTGTGTACACGCAGGATAGGTTATTGGTAACAACGCAGGAAGAGCCGGGGAGCTCTGGGTTCAATTTTTCAGCAAGTCCCCCAAGTCATAGGCATCAAACAAGTCACTTACACCCTCACCCTCCTCCAATCCCCATAGATAATCCTCTTGGTCAAGGGAAGGGGAAAAACTGACAAAGGGGCCTGGGTCGCCATAGGCTGCAGAAGGGAGCTGGTCCTCTGTCTGCTGCAGGAGGTGCTGAGGGGGCTCCAGGAGACCATCCTCTCCCTCCATCAGGCAGTTGGGCAGCTCCATCTTCACCAATTCCACTGGGGAAACAAGAGGGAGTCAAGATACAACATGAGCATCACAATAGAGAGGGCAAGGCCAAGAGCTGGCACCACTGGGCAGTCCAATCCCCCGCTCAAGCAAGAAACCCTAATCCATTTCAGACAAATGGTTGTCCAATCTCTTTCTAAAAACTTCCAGTGTTGGAGCACCCACAACTTCTGGAGGCAGGTTGTTTCAATGATTAATTGTTCTGACTGTCAGGAAATTTCTCCTTAGTTCTAGGTTGCTTTTCTCCTTGATTAGTTTCCATCCATGCTTCTTGTCCTGCCTTCAGGTACTTTGGAGAATAGCTTGACCCACCCTTCTTTGAGGCAGACCCGTGAATACTGGAACTCTTCTAAGTGAGGTCGAAGTCCCAAGATGGAGCCCAACTGCTGAATTCCAGGAGCCAGCAGGATCCACCAGCGTCCTTAATGTTGACACCGTTTTGCCCACCTTCTTCAAATGAGTGAGCAGGCTCCACATAATGAGAAAGCAGGTACTCACACTTGCCCTGCCCCCTATTTCCTCCCCCTTTTGGGCCCAGAAAAGGAAAGAGCAGGCAGGTCACAAAGCAACCATTTGGACTAACTCTGCCCCCACCCTTTTCCTAAGGATAACCTGGTTTTATATGAGCTTCCATAGTCAGGTGCAAGACAAGGGCAAAACAGATTTTGGTGAGTGTGCCATATGATGGGATTCCCTCCCTAAATAAAGTTGACCGGGCACTTACTTTTAGATATTTCCCATGATTGGTGATGGACAGAAGACCAATTACAGCCTTTTAGTGGGCTACACAAAGTCTGTGGGCTGGGAGGAATTCCTGCACAGACATTGGGCTGAACGAATCTTCTCCTAATCACAGAATCATTGTGTTAAAGTAGGGGTCTTCAAACTTGGCCCTTTTATGACTTGTGGACCAACTCCCAGAATTCCTCAGCCAGGCATGCTTGGCGTAGGAATTCTGGGAGTTGAAGTCCACAAGTCATAAAAGGGCCAAGACCCCTGTATTAAAGGGCTTCAGAAGCAGATATATCTGACAGTGTATATCTGACGGTGCAGGAAGTGTGTCACTGCAACACCCTTCAACATTTGGGTGTTCCAGCCCATCACCAAGGGAGGAGAGCCACCAAGGTCACTTGGTTCCATTAATGAACCGCAAGTCTCTTCAGGAAGCTACAAGTCTGAATCATCTGATGGATCAAAAAAACGATCAAAGGACAGCTCCCAGGCCCAGCTGTTGATGGCAGAAGCCTGTTAGAAGGGGACTTGCCCTCAAAATACAGAGTCAGTCCAGCAAGTAACCCTGGAGGACATCTTTCAGAATGAAGTGAGTTTTTCCCAGAAGACCAAGATGACCATCCCTTCAGAGTTGCCCACATTACCTTTCACCGTTGTGGGTTTAGTAACCTCCTGGTGTGCTGAAAGAGGAAAGCAGCTCTCCTTGGCAGGGCTCTCTTCCAGAATTTCTTCTGGGCACAGGTAGACTTCAATGGGGCCATTGGTACTCCTTAGGTGGAGCTGGACGTTCTCCTGCAGGAGGGGGAGGAGCAGGAGGAACAGATCAAGAAAGAGTATGATTTAGTACCCTCAAGCCAAGGGCACCTGTCTGGGAGCAAACAATTACAAGTAGTCCTCAACTTATGACAGTACAGTTGCAAAGTGGGACACTCACATGACCAAATTGATCTTACCACCTTTTTTGCAGTGGCTGTTAAGCAAAGCAATTGTTTTCTACAGGTCAAGTTTTGCCCCCCAAAACCCCCCAGAAGTAAATACTGATTTTGGGCAAAAACTTCGTAAAACGCAGTCACATTACTGGGGCATGCTGCAAACAGTCGTGAATGTGGGCTGGTGGCCGAGCACCCAAAATGCGGTCACGTGACCTGGTGGTGGTCACTGGAACTTAGGAACCAGGTTGTAAGTGCCCCTTGGGGATCTGTCATAACTTTGTGCAGTCACTAAGCAGCCAGTTGTAAATCGAGGACTTCTTACAGTTAACAGATTTAGCAGCAACCGAAATGAAGAATAATGAATTTCCATTCCCACCTCACAAACATCAGGCACCTCAAGACGAGTTTCAGGGGGCGCTCTCACCACAATCACCGTCTGCTCGTTAAAATTGCTGATGGCTCGGATATCCTGATAGGTAACATAGGCTGACGTAGGACAGAGAAAAGTTAAAGAAAACACCGCAAAGAAACACCAAATTCTGAATTGTGATGGGCAACTATGGCAGCTTTACAGCCTGTGGACTTCAACTCCCAGAATTCCTGAGCTAGCTATACTGACTCAGGAATTCTGGGAGTTGAAGTGCACAGGCCCTAAAATCGTCATAGTGGCCCATCCCAGGATTAGGTCAAGGAAGGAATCAAAGATTTTGAAACGGCTCCTCCAATCTTATCTGTATGCCAAGTTTGTTCTATTTCTTGAGTTTCAGTCAGCCCTGTTTGGGCTTGAACTTAACACCTCACATTCAGAAGTGGGTTGTTTCAAACGCAGAGGATTCACCATGGTCCGAACACCCTCAGAATACTTCTGGAAAGGTTGAAAGGAGTTCAAAAATGGGGGGGAGGGGCTGAAAGGGTAAGATGAGTATAATTAGGACTCCTTCTGCTCCTTAACCTTCCCAGCCCCCAAATTAAAACAAAATAAAGCCAAGACCTTTTGGTTCTATCCTTGTTAGAGGTATCTTGGGGATCATAAAGGAAATTTAGTCTAGTGGTTAACACATCAAGCTAGAAACCAGGAGATGGTGAGTTCTAATTCCACCTTGGCATGAAAGCAAGCTGGGTGACCGTGAGCAAGTCAGTCTCTCTCAACCTAACCCACCTCACAGGGTTGTTGTTGTGGAGAAAATAGGAGGAAGGAGTATTGTGTCTGCTCAACACCTTCAGTTATTTATAAAAATAATAAAGGCGGGCTATAAACAAAACAGACGCAGGGAGATATAGTCAGCGCTTGGCTGCAGCCTGCAATCCTGGGCCTTATGGCTTATATTTAAAGAGGACAACAGTGCACCTTGCCTTAGCTGATGGGGCGAACCCCAAGAATTGCTCTGCACGGGGCCTTTTGGACTCTGGAGCTTTGGCCACTGGTCTTCAACGCAGGGGGTACCAGGAATGAATTGATCCCCCTGGAAGTCTGTCTCTGATCATTGTCCTCTTCACCCACCCGCCACTCAAAAGGATATCTTTGGTTGGGCTCATCTTCGGTCAGATGCTTTAACTGCAGAGAGGACTCCTGGATCAGCTTGTCCAAAACCTTCTCGTTCTTGGAAAGCTCGGCCAGTTCTTGTCGCAAGAGGTGTTGTTTTGTGGCCACGGAAGAATCTTCAAAAAGTCCCGTTCCCCTGGATATCGTATTAATAATAGATCAGATGAGTCCATTTGCTAAATCAGGGTTCAAGTTTTCACTTTGAGCTCTCTTCCCCCCCCCTTTTTTTGGTGGTGGGGGGGGGGAAATTATAAATCCTGATACATTGTGTTATTTCAACGCAGATTTCAATGCAGTCGTGTTTATGGGCTGGGATGAAAAACCATGAATATTCTATTATTCAGAAAGCATAAAAGTATTGAAAAGAAAAGGGAAGAAAAAATAATAAAAAAAATCTATTAGTATATATTGCAACTTAGGATGTCAGTCTTACAAACGTAAGATGGTGTGGCTTTTCATCCAAAGTTCAGGACAATGTGAAAAAAATGCTTTCAGCTCTTGGCAGGAGGGTGATTCAAAGGGTTTTTAAGAAGAGAAAAAGAGACACAGAGACGTTGATCCCAAACATGAGCGAACACAAAGGGTTTCAGCCAAAGTAGAGGGAGAAATAGACTCAAGGAAATTGAGATGAAATATGGACATTAAGGAAATTGTTTTGAAATGTGGCTCTGCCTGATAAAGAAAAGCAGAGGGTATTAAGAAGCAAAATTTGAGAAAATACCCTCCGCCTCCTAGAGACAGCAAGGAAAACTGTAAACCTTCAAAGCAATTCTCCGAGAAAAGCAGCGTCTTCTCCGTTTAAGAAAAGCAGTATCCAATTAGTCCTTGGGATGGAGTTTAAAAAGCAAAACTCATCTGCTGGTTCTGCAGAAAAATGCATCATTTTGGCATTGGTTTTAATGCATTGCAGGTGGTTCTCGACTTACAACTGTTCATTTATTGACCGTTCAGAGTTACAATGGCAGTGCAAAAACTGACTTACGATCATTTTTCACACTTAACAACAGTTGCAGCATCCCCACAGTCAAGATCAAAATTCAGACGCTTGGCAACTGACTCACATTTATGACGGTTGCAATCTCCCAGGGTCACGTGATCCCCTTTTGTGACCTCCTGACAAGCAAAGTTAGTGGGGGGGAAGCCAAATTCACTTAACAACCGTGTTACTAATTACTGCAGTGATTGATTCACTTAACAACTGTGGCAAGGCAGGTTGTAAAATGGGCCAAAATTCATTTAACAACTGTCTCACTTAGCAACAGAAATTTTGGGCTCAGTTGTGGCTGTAATTCGAGGACAACCTGTATTTCTTGCCTGGCTGATTGCAAGAAAGGGTGAAATTTGGAACACGGGAGCCCCAGTTTGCAATATTCTTCTTCCAAACCCATTTCCTTTCCTTGCGTGCCCTGTCTTTTAGATCAGAGGTCCCCAACCTTTTGGGCACCAGGAAAGAGGTTCCATGGAGAGAGGTTTTTCCGCGGACCGGAGGGTGTGTGGTTTTGTGTGCTGCCTGCATCTCGTGGAGGGGTCTTTGCTTGTTTGTGCAGACTGGTTGCTGGCATGCCACGGCCCGGTACCGGTCCACGGACCAGGGGTTGGGGACCCATTTTAGATTGCAAGCCTCATGAGGTCTTATTATTGACCTTATCAGTTACTCCAGGAGCCAGTTTGGTTAGAGAAGGAGAAAACCAGTCAATGTGGATGAATGAATAAAAAGCGCTCAGCTATATATAAACTTGGAGGGAGCTTGGTAAGATTTAAGACAATGTCAGTTGACACAAGAATTCCTGTGAGTAAGGGAGGGGATTGTAAGGCATGACTGACATGCTTAGTGGCGGCATCTCCTTCAGTCTCAGTTGTCGTTGTTAACTGAATCCCATAGCCGGTCATTAGACGGGGCAACTTCCTGCCACCGAAGTCACTGGGGAAGCTGGCAGGAAGTTGAAAATCCAAGGCTTGCAAACAGGTAAGCAGCTGCTGTGAGGTGGGAAGGAGGGCGTAATGGAGGCACTGGCGAAGTGTGCAAAGGGATGCATGAATGCGGCATGCATGGGGAGGATGTATAAAGGCATGAGGGTTGTAGGAGAGAGACCAGATTGGAGGGTTCAAGATACATGAGAAACCCAGTGCAGATTGTGTGTGTGTGGGGGTGTCTGTGGAGTGTGAGGAAGGTGTAGTAAGGTTTGGGAAATGTGGGTGGGACTGCCTAAGTAGCTACAACACGAGTGCAGAGGGGCTGTGGGAGGGTGCATGGGTGAAAGAAACTTACCCCAGGGACTTGAAACCTTATCTGCAGCTTCCCATTGATTCTGCTTGTTGGTAGCTGGTAGGGAAGGTTGCAAACTGATTGTGTGAACACAGGATGCTGCAACCGTATGTGCAAACTGGTTGCCAAGCACTCAGATCAGGTGGACATGGGGATGCTGGGTTAGCCAGACCCCCCCCCCAAAGATCCATCATTTGTTCAGCTCTGTCAAAACTTTGAACAGTGACTAAGTAAATGGTCGTAGGTCTCTCTGGTGAAGCAATCTAGTTAAAGAATACCTGCCAGATATACACTTTCAAGCACAGGCTGGACAACCAGCTGTTTTTCCCAAGCCTGATTATTCTCCAGATGTCTGGAACTCAAACTTTTCGTACGGCAGTGCTAGAATTTGGGGAACTGAAGCTTCCTCATCTGGAGATCTTCTAGGTGGGGAAGGCTGACTTCAGCAAACCCATATTCCTCTTCCACATTTGCTCATAATATCCAACCCAATCTAGACTGGCCCTTCTCTGCAGACATCTGCACCTGAAGTCTTTCCAACCAACTTACATCCACTGGATATTGTTCTTGGATTTCTTGCGAATGAGCTGAATCCCTTCCAGGACGTTGGTGATATCATAGATGCGTCTTTTTTGCACCTCCAGCACCTCAGCAGCCCGGTTCAAGTCCAGAACCCCATCTTCCGATTCACTGAGCAAGTGGATAAACTTCTTGGTCAGCAAGCCAAGAGACGTGTCGTAGCGGGTCTTCTCTCCAGGAGATTTGGGGGCTAGAACACACACACACACACACACACACACACACACACACACAAAATCCATGCAACACAATCAGAATAAAATTCTTTGGGATATTCCCCGCTTCTGAACCATTCTAATGGTATATGGCAGGGGTCTTCAAACCTGGCCCTTTTATGACTTGTGGACTTCAACTCCCAGAATTCCTCAGCCAGGCATGCCTGGCTGAGGAATTCTGGGAGCTGAAGTCCACAAGTCATAAAAAGGCCAAGTTTGAAGACCCCTGGTACATGGTAAAGACCTCAGGCAAAAAGGCACTGCCAAGGAAACAATTTGATAAGAGACAGCATAGCCCACACCTGGCTGGTGGGTGGGACAAGAGGCTCAGGAGAGTAATTGAGACAGGGTGGGATAGGATGAATTGTATTTTTTAGACTTGCAAGATTCTGTCAGTTTAGTTTTACAATAAAGTAAGCATTAGTTCCTCTGCTTTGATGGGGTGCAATGAAGTCTAGCCTCCTCATGGTGCACCTCAGGTAATGTGACTTTGTCACGGGTAAATAGTCTACACATTCCAGTTGCTGAACTTCATAAAAATCTCCCAGCACGAAGAAGCTGCATGAATACTGAAATATCTCATTTAGCTGGAAGGTCAACATCAATCTTGCAAATCTAAAAGTGCAATTCCCTTCCCCCCACCCTTTACAGCCCAAGAAACTAGGGAGAGTCTCTTTCCCTGCCCACTATCCAGATGTGGGCCATCTGTCTCTTATCTAACCATTCCTGGGAGTGGTTATGCATTAAATTTCCTGCAAATTTAAGTTTCTGCTTGGATTTTTGTTGCCTTTTTAAAAACCACCTTCCTCATTCCAACGCCTTCAAGATGCGCTGGAATACAACCCCCATCCCAGGCTGGATGATAATCTTGACCAGGGATGGTGGAAATTGCAGGAAAACAAACAACAATAATAATAATTTTGGTTTATTTTAAATTTTAAAATAAAATTTGTAGAAGAGATTTAAAAAGATATTTCTGAAATAGGAAATCCTTTCAGCATCTAGACTAAAAGATGGTGTTCTGTTGCCCTCTAGTGGCCAATAGGGTTTCAGTGCAGCCATGCTTGTTATGAAACCAAGATTAGATCTAGGCTCCTAAGATAACCCAACAGTATCATGTAATGTTTCTTCAGGATGTAATGTTATTCCCAGAAGTATGACAGAAGGAAAAAGAAACGACAGCTTCCTTTACTGAAAAATGCCCTTGCTCTATACAAACTTCTGTTCTTGTGGGTAAAATCCAAACATGAATGAAAGCAAATATACATGTCCCAGGATAATGATGCAAAATCTAATTTAGGTCAGTCACCAGAACCAGAGATTTACTCTTCCGAGCTTTCAGACTCATGCTGGAGCCCACCTTAAGAGAAATTCTCTGAAGATAGGCTCCAGCACGAAAGTTCGGAAGAGTACATCTCCAGTCCCGGCAGCTGACCCAAATTCAATTTTGCAAAATCAAACACTTTGTGATTTAAAAGAAATAAATAAAAATAAAAACTGAGCTAAGCAGGTCAAGCTGAATAAAAACCTTGATACCGAAGCAGATTTCTCACTTTTCACTGGAATCTGCCCCTACCCCATTTCAAGCTGATCCTCGATGAGGACTAGAAACTTAAGACAGCAACTCTAGACTCTTCCAAAGCATCCTTTCGTTCAGTGTTTCCTTATCCAAGGCCTCTTACTTTTTGGACTAGGGATATGTGGGAGTGCGGTTCCTTTGCCTTTCGGTGTTCGGAATTCTGGGATGCGCTGCTGAGCGGTTCCTTCAAGATCCAGTTTTCTCTTGGCCTAAGAAAAGGAGAAACAGAGACGGCCACGGTTAGCTTGGTGGGGAAACCACGAGCCCACACACTTGGCTACAAACAGCTGCAATACGTCCTTTCCATTTCTCTTCAATCCACAATGTGTTACAACATTTAATTACCTAGTCTTCAGGATCTAATCTGGCTTTCCCGTGTCATAAAACAAGACTGCCGTGCCCGTTTCTGGGTTTTAGTATCTGTTTGCATCCTCTATTCGAAGGGCTATTGAGAGCATTAAAACCTGCAGAGAAAACTGGCACGCACATATATTCCGAAGCACCCCACGGGGTTCAACACAGATTTTTTTTTTGCCAAAAGAAAAAAAATAATAAATGTATTGCTATGCTAAACTCCCGCAGTAATCTTTTTCAGCATGATGATCTCCAGATGTGTTGAACTACAATTCCCATGCTTTCCCCATAGGGACACCCAATGGGGAAAGCGAGTTGAGGGCCAGCATATCCATTCGCCTTGCTTTCTAATGTAGACATGAAATTCCTAGAGTGATATCATCTGGAATGAATGTACAAATGTATTTCCTGCATGGATGTTGGCTGAATGGGCCCGTTTCAGTTTTGGTTTCCCTGCCCCCTGCCAACTTTTTTACAAATATGTTTTTCATTATTACAGTTTTGCTGTGGGTTTTTTTGTTGTTGTTGTTATTCCCATAATGGTAAGTAGCTTCAGTCTGTTTGCATGGGGTGCAGTAAAGAAACAGATAAAATAAAATGTAGGTAGTCCTCTACTTACAACAGTTCGTTCAGCGACCAAAGTTTTAACGGCACTGCAAAAAGCGATTTATAGCAATAGCACTTAGACTTATATACTGCTTCATAGTGCTTTCCAGCCCTCTCTAAGTGGTTTACAGAGTCGGACAAACTGGCTCCTCTTTTTATCAAACTTGGAAGGATGGAAGGCTGAGTCAACCTTGAGCAACTCAGAATCGAACTCCTGGAGTGAGCATGAGTTAGCCTGCAGTACTGCATCCTAACCACCGGGGCCACCCCTGCTCTTACTGTATATCAGGGGTCTGCAACCTTGACAACTTTAAGACTTGTGGACTTCAGCTCCCACAATTCCTCAGCCAGCTATGGGGTGTTTTGTGTTGCTTTCTGATGGGAACATAGAATATAGAATATCAGAGTTGGAAGGGATCCGGGAGGTCTTCTAGTCCAATCCCCTGCTCAAGTCAAATGGGGATTGACTTTCCCCCAATAAAATGGATGCATTATTGGAGCTTAAAAATTTAAAAATATGTGTTATAAAATGTCTCTGCTGTAACGAAGCACCATGCCACTGAATTTCTAGTACCGTAGTAAGATGTTGGAGCCTGTACAAGATTGGGATTGATTCAAAGAAGGAAACTTCGGACTATAGATTGCTCACCCTCATCCTAAAAGATGTACCTTGTCTTTTCAAGATAAGTACTGTATGTCTCCTAATAATTCAGCATACAGTGCTATTGTCAGACCAGAGCTGAATTCCACTAGTCTTAAAGTTGTCAAGGTTGCAGACCCATCTTATATGACCGTTTTTTTTTTCACATGACCGTTGCAGCACCCCCATGTGATCAAAATTCAGATGTTTGGCAACTAACTCATATTTATGACCGTTGCAATGTCCCAGGGTCACATGATCCCCTTTTGCGAACTTCTGACCAGCAAAGTCAACAGGGAATTCAGATTCACGCAGCTACTAATTTAAGAACTGCAGTGATTCTTTTAAGAAGCACGGCAAGCAAGGTCGTAAAATAGGGGCAAAACTCACTTAACAACGATCTCGCTTAGCAACCAAAATGTTGGGCTCAATTGTGCCCGTAGGTCACCTGTCAATATGGAAAGCGAGCAAGCCAGGTATCCTCCAGATGGAGGTGGCACCCTTTTCTTTTGCAAACACATTTAAGCACCCTGAAAACCTGGAGGCCCAAAGATTTTCCGCAAGAGGACTTTGTGTGTCTGTGTGGAAATGAAGGAAAGAGACATACACGGAACATGAAGATAGCCGGAAGACAGCTGTAATTAAACAAAGAACCAACTCATGGAAGCCAACTAGCTGTAGCTGCAACCAGGAATGAGCAGTCTGAGTAACACCAGAGTTAATTAAAAAAAAAAAAAAAAGAGTGGACAGATACTCACTCCTGGCTGGATGGCAGAAAGCTGACAGGACACTGGAAGTTGGTGTTCTCCCGTGCAGCCTGCCAGCCTCCCTTTTTTTAAAAAAAAAATGAAATAATGAAATCAAAGTCAAGCACGGCAAGTGGGGGTCCATAGTTCCAATTTCCGTCCTCTCTCTCACTTGGGGGAACAAAAGAGAAGCCCCTAAAACATTGCCTTCCACCATCACTCTTTTCCTTTTCTTCTATCTTCTTCAGGAAAAGGAAGGGATTCAGTGTAGCTGTTTGGAACAATTTGCTACCAAATTGGCAAACAGCCAGAACAACGTGAATCTGTTGCTGATCTCAGAGGAAATAGAAAACTCTGTGTATCAATGGACCCAGAGTGTACAAAGATACACTTTTGTTTTTATTGTGTGGTAATTTTGGTTCCAAAGAGAGAAACTTTAGGCCGGGGCTGTCCAACCCTGGCAACTTTAAGACATGCCCATGCCGGCTGGGGAATTCTGGGAGTTGAAGTCCACAGGTCTTAAAGTTGCCAGGGTTGGACAACCCCGCTTTAGGCTAATGGTCAGGCGAAGATTATCTGTTGCAAATAGGAAGATGCATCTGTAAACCACAGTCATTTCTGCATTGAACCAGCCAAAAAAAGACTGTAAGAGGCAAAGCTACCTGTACAGGTAGTTCTTCCATTGCTAAGCAAGGCATCTGTTAAGTGAACTGCCCCTGATTTTATAACCTTTTACTATTAAGCAAATCACTGCAGTTGTTAAGCGAATCACATGTTCATTAAGCAAATCTGCCTTCCCCCATTTGCTTGTCAGAGCTAACCTGCCCTTCGCAACACCTGGAACTCAGCTGGGAAGGTGCTGAGCATAGCTCACTGAATGCTGGTCAAGGTGAAGGCAGTGAGGTGGGGCAAGCTAATTTATGGGCCCGAAGGCTCAAGATTGGTGTGACTAGAAAAGGCATAATAATAATAAACGCCTAGAGTAGCTACACAACGAAATACAGGTAGTCCTCAACTTACGACAACTGAGCCCAAAATTTCTGTTGCTACACAAGACAGTTAAATAAGTTTTGCTCTATTTTACGACCTTTCTTAGCACAGTGATTGTGCCAAGTGAAGTGAATCACTGCAGTTGTTGAATTAGTTAACACGGTTGTTAAATGAATTTGGCTTCCCCATTGACTTTGTTTGTCAGGTCGCAGGTGGTGATCCCATGACCCCGGGACACTGCAACCATCGTAAATAGGAGTTAGTTGCCAAGCGCTCAAAATTTGATCACGTGACCCTGGGGATGCTGCAACGGTTGTAAGTGGGAAAAATGGTCATAAGTAACTTTTTTTCAGTGCCATTGTAACTTCAAACGGTCATTAATGAACCGTTGTCATTTGAGGACTACCTGGAAGGAATCTGATGGAACATTTTTAGGAATGATACGGTTAGTGTGCCATAAACCAAAGGAACCTTCACCAACAGACCAGCAGTTATAAGATATCTAAAATCATGAAGAACCTCAACCATCTGGTAACACCTTCTTCTTGGCCAAGATTGTGCTTGGGTATTTCAAACAGCACTGAGAAAGTGCAATGTTGAATAGTTAGTAAACACCTGCAAGGAGGCTTACCACCCAGTTGTTATTATTTGAAGATACAATTGAGCAGTTGTGAACAGTCCTCTGAAGCCACCCCAAAGCAGAGCAAGAATCTCTAGCAATCCAAGAAGCCAGGTGTTCAAGCTATACAAATGTCTTTGTTCCTTCCATAAAATGCAAAATTAAGCAGACTGTTGTCAGTGCAAAAGCTGATGCTAGATACAGGTCACCAAATGCTGCTTCTGCTGTGTAGACTGGCTTTCCCTTTTGATTTTTCAAGCGTCGTAGATACTTCCTTGGATTCTGCACCTTTGCCCAGCTCAGCAACAAGCTCTTAAGCATGTTTGTCAAACTCAGCAACTTTAAAATAGAAATCTGCCCTTTATGCTCAAGGCCAGTTTGCTGGCTAGGGAATTCTGGGAGTTGAAGTCCACACATCTTAAAGTTGCTGAGATGGAGAAAGGCTGGTCTAAGGCAGTGTTTCTCAACCTTGGCGACTTGAAGACCTGTAGACTTCAACTCCCAGAATTATGCTGGCTGTGGAATTCTGGGAGTTGAAGTACGCAGGTCTTCAAGTCGCCAAGATTGAGAAACACTGGCCTAAGGCAGGGGTGTCAAACTGCCGGCCCGTGGGCCGGATGCATCACCAGAAAACCTACGTTGCGCAACGTCACGTGACGTCACGAGTTAGACATGTCTGGCCTAAGGGCTTACAGGCCCTGACTTTCAGAGTTAAATCTGCAACTATGCCAGAGACCCGTCAAGCCCTTCCTTCACCACCAGAAAAGTAGAAACATTAACTAACATTCCACCTGATCTAGAAAGCATCAACTGTTGGACTGAAGAAGGAAGAGTTGAGTCGTCTCTTGCACCTTTCCCAGTGGATGCTAGAGCAAAATAAGAAGGGGAAAAGAGCAATCGAAAAAAGAAAGGTTTTTTTTTTAAAAAAAAAGCAGCTTGTGCCATGGCTTCCTGCCCACTTCCTGCCACTCAGCCTGACAGCTTCCACAGCAGCTGCTATTCCCCACAAGTGCTTCCTTTTGGCTACTGGATCGCTTGGTGGTAACAGAAGACCGCCAGTCCTCCAGGGAGTCAGACAACGAAGGCGAGGACCCTGGCCTGCAGCCCCAACCTACTCTACACTCTACTCCAGAGGTCTTCAAGCTTGGCCAGGCTGACGAATTCTGGGAGTTGAAGTCCACAAGTCATAAAAGGACCAAGTTTGAAGACTCCTGCTCTACTCTAAATAAATGCCAGAAACACTGGATTTTCAGA